AAAAGAAGGAACCCTCAAAGAGTGAGCGAGATTTTGTGTCCCTTTAGGCGTGCCAAAAACAAAGGGTCATAAGTTTTGAATCCCAGATTCGCTCTCTTTATGATTGTTGATTTATCCGCACCACACCCGAGATCGTGGGTTTCACCAAATTTGGTAAAGGTCCTCCTACATTGAGCAGACAGTGATATAAGTAAAACACTGTTCAAGGCGGTGTTAAACCAAATTTCACTTGTGTCTAATGTTTATCTGCAAATTTATAACTACCATATAAACAGTATATTTTGTTACATAACGATGGCATTTATCAATAATTTAGAAAAAAAACAAGCATGGCATTGTCCGCTGTTAAAAACACAATGGATTTGAATATAATCGATGTATTTGCGTGTTGAGTCTAAGTGTTTTATTCGCCTAAATATTCCCCCATCTACATGACCCTTACAACCCATAATAGATGGAATTGCAACGAAATGGGGATGGCACCGTCAATTTCTCATGACGGCTTAATCCATGATTGGATTGGCGGAACATTCCCATTTTATCTGAATGGGGCTTGTGTACCGTCCTACCTGTTTCTAACAGCAATAATGATGAACATAATTTTCTCTCAGGATACAGTTTAATATATTCAGTGTGTATGCGTTTAAGTGCTAAATGTACATGTTTTTACATTGCCGAAACGGTGCAGTGCACGGTGGATACATGTAAATGCAAAGGAATTAGTTCGATGTCAAATATCAACATTAAATTGTTCTTTATACTTTTCAATATAAGAGTCATGTCTTTTTCATTTAAGTCCATCACAAAGACTTCGCTTTTATACTATTTCTTGCTACCATATCATTCAGCCACTGGTAATATATCGCCCTTTCTACCAGTACTCTTGATCAGCATGCGTTGCTATGTATCGCTGAGCTAAGGCATACTATTTACTTCTTGCCTGTTTAAAAACATCTTTGTCTGTTCATCATTGTCACAAACAATGCTATTTGTACAATTATATATATATATATACATGTGGCTGTATGTTGTACATTTCTATTTAGATAATTCACATTAACGATTAAACAGTGGTTAAATGTCATACATAATGACAAATGCTTGTGTTCGTGGTGGTTTCTCATTTGTTCAGTGATTGCTACTAATTAATGTTGTTTTAAAGGGTATGACAACATTGGGGTTTGACCCCAGATGTTCAGATCCATCATACTATGACGATATGTTTTTAAACTAAGCCAATTTGTGCTTGTTTTGACACTCGATTTGATGCAGTTGCCTTACTCAGGTGCACTATGAATGGTATGCGGTTTTTTAACGCTCATTCAAGTTTGTCTGTTTAACGCCGTACTCAGCAATATGCCAGCTATATGATGTCAGAATAAATATTCGAGTCTGGACCAGACAATCCAGTTATCGATATTGTGAGCAACGATACACGTCATCGGGGTACGATGACAAGCAAGCTTGACCTAGGTTACTCGGGACTTACATGTGTATTCTATTTCGGAATCCCTTCGGGGTCGAATTCAGGTATCAGTTTTGTTTCAGTTAGGTATATGTGTGTTTGTATAATGGTACGTTGTAAACATGCTCTGTTATTATGTATTTGTTTTCATATTTTATGCAATATTTGTTAACGTTTTAAACATCTTAGCTATTTAGCTGAATGTCATTATCCTGATATCTCTATATGTCACTATAATCATTATTCATGGTTTCTCCCAGTGATGGCGAAGTTGGGGAAGCCGTGCGGTCACGTCGAAGGCCCGGGTTCGATTCCCTACTTGGGTACAATCTGTGAAGTCTGTTTCTGGTGTCCCCCATCTTGAAATTGTTAACAGCGGCATACTCTCTCTCTCTCAGTGAAAATAATAATTTAGTGCCATTTACATTTTTAAAAATGTGTTCAAGAGATTCCAGAGAATAATAATATCTACTGCTATTTTCATCGTTATCATTTTCAACTGGAGTCAAACCAGGCCCTGACACTTACCAGGCCTTTGCACTGGCATCTTAACGACATTGATCACGTTAGCATCTGATCGAAGTTCGAACATATATCCTCAACGGCCCTTAATTATTCTCTTGTTTACCACCTTTTTTTACCATCTTCATGTGTATATGTGATAGTAGTGTGGTCGCCTGTAAGGCGCTGCTGTTCTTTAGGCGTGCCACAAACCTATGAGATGAGAAATATTTCGTACCCACGTAATGAATTTTCCATACTCTTAAAGTAAACATCCACACATGCCACTTTACTGTAATCGTTTAATTCGACATGGCAAGATTATTAAGATGAAGCAATTCATGATTAATGTATGTATAGTGTTAAATGGCTGAAAGAGTGTAAATATGAACGGTTTGATCACCCATAAACATTGCAATAAACATGTGCAAAAGGTATAAACACGAATGTTATTTCCCCTCCTTGTAAAAATAAACTGATTGGTAATGAATGTAATCTTATTTCAAGAAAACATTCGTTAATGCTATATTTACCCCCCAAAAGAGCACACACGCTTGATCAATGACAGATGCTACTGTTGTTCTGTTTTCACAGAATGGCAAGAGCTGTACACTCACGCCTAAAATAACCAAACATAGCCTTGAGACGGTCCCTTGGGGCCCTCATTAGTGACAAATTCTGCAAGTAAAGTCTCCAGCTTCATTAAATGACCACCACAGAGTACAAATTGGTCTTCTCTCCTCTCTTTCTCTGCTTGTCTTGTAAAAACGCATAAGGTTAGCGTAATGTGACCTTCAAACGTCAGCGGCAGACAGACCACGGTGACAGTAGGCATCCTCAACACGTGTGGTTGAGATGCATTGACACCAGCTCAGACACAAAATGCTCTTATATGTCTGGAACTATGGGTATCGACCGTTGGATCTAAACATATATACGAGTAATCCCGCTTTCTGCAGTGTGATGCACGGAGATTCCCTCTCAGTAACGTGCTATGCTTGTATCCGTAAACATATAAGAACACCTACGTGACGAATTTTCATTTAAGTAAGAAAACGTACAAACTTATGTATAACATAGTAAGTTGAACGAGGTATATATTCACAAAATATAGACAGTACTGCTAAATGTCACATTAAATAATGTGCAATGTAATTCCCTTTGTAGACTTGTAACGTATGTTTCCGCGTTTATTCGGGTGAACACTTGCCTTGAGGCGTTTAATCAGTGTTACAACCCTATGGCCTTAGTAAAGCTTTGGAAACGTTTTATGGTAGATATGTGTTCTTTAAGGTGAACAATATGTTGAATTGCTTTTGCCTGATTGTGTTTGTGTCGGGTGCCTCCAGTTGGGCAGGATACAGGTGTCATCACTGTTTGATACGGATTCATTACACATGCTTCTAATATGGTCGGTATCGTACAATGGAGTCTCCTTTCAGTAGAGATTACTTATTTTTATGGAAAAGGTTTTGTTTGGATATTTATCAAATTAAGCACATCCAGCTAGGGTAATCATTGCATCGCGTGACGTAACCCGACATCAAGCATGCGGGAGCGGCTATGTAGCCTAGTGGAAAAGCCTTCGCTCGTCAATCCGAAGACCCGGTTTCAAATCCATACATTGAGAGAAAGTGTGAAGTGACTTCTTGGTATCCCCCTCCTTGATAGGAGAATTTACTAGAATATTGCTGAAAGACCCCTAAAACCATACCAATGCACTCATTCCAGCATATAGTCGGTAGTTCGTTCGCTACGTTGGTCAAATCATGCTTTCACCCTACTGTCCTCAAGTCTTGTCGAGCTCGATTTCAGGCCTATTTTATAAAGTTGGAATATTACTAGGTCAGGCGGAAAAGAACAAACACACGATCAAAGTTGTGGCAGGACATAGTAGATGTCACTGTTATGAGAGTCACGTCAAACCACACATCACGGTTGGGGTAAATCAGGTGTTTGAATATAAAAAAGCGACAAAACGCCTTCCATAATTATTGTACAATTCCGACTATATCATGAGCATAGTGTTTATGAATAACTATCAAATGGTGATGATACCAGGTGTGACTATATCCTGCCACATGGGTGGCATCCGTCACAAACACATGAAAATCGGAGTCAAGTGTTCATCTGTCAATACACGGGAATACATACAGCAAGTCAAACTAGTGAACAAACGGTCAATGAAACTCGGTAACTGAGGTCTGTATTCAATAGGAATGACTGTCACGACAGTGTGATGACGAAACGTGCAAGTCCTCGCGACCATATTTTACCTGATTGCGATCCTTGTCTTTTTCATGTACACTACAACTCAGTGATGGACCTAACGAGAGTCACGAGTGGGTGCCCTGTCTGAGACAATCTAGCATTTCACAAAGGACATCGGGAATACCGTTCACATGTTGTATCCGTGTTGGGAATCGATCCATTTGCCTGTGCGTTGCAAGCAAACGCACTTACCAATCCGTCCGTACAAACCAATACTGTAAAGGTGTTATTTCATTGAAACGATTATGGTTAATTCTTGTCATTATGACTATCACTCTCTGAGGTGAAAAAAAAGCCGAAGAATTAAATCGAAAAGCTGAAACACAGAATATACAGTGAATGGCAACTTAAAGTCTCTTGTCTATGATGGACTGCATTAATCTGATGACAGTTGGGATGGTGATGATGATGTTATTGATTATGATTATGATTACGTTTTGATGATGATGATGTTGATAATGATTATGTTCCCTCTGAAGCTATATGTCATGAAGCCATGTCCCTAGTCCTTGAAAGCACAGTCCATTTGTACGACAAATAGAACATGGGAGATCTTTAAAGTTAAATCATGCTGTATGAATGTTATTATGAATGCCAAGAGCGTCCGAGTTCTTTGCCCAAACGATTTCGCCATGGCTACAAATGAGATGTCTTTCATTTAGAAATAAGCTTCTGATCAGAAACCTTTCGCATGGCCTTATGATAATTAAAGTATTTAGACAGTCTTCATTCACTGTACTCAACACAAATGTTTTTCTTTCAGTTGCCGGCAACAGACGTTAAAGTTTCTGGACAGCAGACCCGCTCTCATTGCCGTGTGCACACTGGTTGTCATTGAGTGTGTGTGCGTGCTGGTGGAGCTCATGGTCGACCTGCAGGGGATTAGGTGTAAGTAATGTATTTTTAATTTCAATTAACACTTGACCTTCAAAATTACCTCCTGGTTTCATGGTTCAAGTTTTCAAATGTCTGTTTTGTTTCACTTCATATCTTCATTGACAGTGCAGCTGACATTTCGAACGGTTTAAGCAAATAACATCTTAAGGTCATTTCCCCCTCAAGTTATCATAAAGTAACACACTATTGACTGTAGAGAACTGGAAACATGTTAAAGTAGTTCTCTTTTTACCATTATATATACATGGACACAACACATTATTGACTATATGGAACAGGTAGCGTGTTTATTGCGTTCTCTTTTGTCATAATGTATACATGAACACAACACAAACTCGACTACAGTAAAAAGAATACATGTAACGTATGAACTCGTTCTCCAGTAGAATGTTACGTTAATTGAACAAAGCACAAAAATATCGACTATATCGGGGCCAAATATCATAAACAATTCTTTTCCGTTATAACAGGGAGTGAGTGTCTGTTAGGCCGCTAGGATATCTTACAGTCCTCTATTATAATGTGTAAATATAAACACAATACACTACAGACAATGGAAAACCAATAACATTCCAAAGGTATTCATCTTTGTCGTGTTAAATACATAAACACAACACAATGCATGGTTAATGACAATATACATGATTGGAAACGAAAATAGTCAATATCGACTGTACCTTCCAGGACAAAGCAAAGAGAAAATCGCATGTATCGAAACATATCAAAGAAGTTCTCCTTTAAAAGATGGTTCTTTATCAGTTAATAATGATCATCTAAATAATATATGCGACAAAAACAATCATTCCTTCTAGCTGGGAGGTATATTGTCGAAGACAACACGATCAAGTAACTTAGGAAGCGAGAGACCAATTATAGGGTACATTAGACGATATATTTGCTCCAGAAAATGAAAGTAACAGTTTCTACAGAGAGAAATTAATAACAGTTCTACAACTCCACAGACATAAAGGTGTATTGACACAGAAGTAAGATTTAGTGTGCAAAGTATACTAGTATGTGTGTCTTCATCTCACGTGTACATACATGAAGAGGCTTAGTCAATCTTTGTATGGAATTATAGGAGAAGAAGTAGTATTCTTTCAGGATTGCAATGAAGTGTGTACACTAGAAGTTAACATTTTATCACGAAGGAATTGTTTTATTTAGATATAGATAAGAGCTACAAAACCCTTTGAATAACCATGACCAAAATAGCTATCTGCTAAAATCAGAGTCCATTGTATGATTCTGACCAAATGTTTATGAATCACTATGATAATAATAATAATAATAATAATAATAATAATAATAATAATAATAATCATCATCATCATCATCATCATCATCATCATCATCATAATAATAATAAAAAACACTTTGTTTTTTTAAAATACCCTTGCGTGGAAGAATGATTTGAAGTTTAGTAGATGGTAGATGTTTGTAATGTTGACATCATCTGCTTCATATTAAACGTGAATTGGATTATGCACAATCATAATTAATGTTCACGAGTTCACGTTTGTTGTAGAATTATTTTGCTGTTACTTCCAACGACTTCCAGGGAAGTTATATGCCCAATGTACCATATAATTATATAATACAATTACCTTTAATACGAACAATATCGCCTCGCTTTACTCCAGTTTCCTCTCGATAGGTGGTGGAAGCACATTATCTAGGTTCTTCAAGTTGTAACGTATTTAACACCTATCTTACTATTATTGCGAGCTTGAGTTCGCGAAACTCATTTCTTGTTTTTTTTTCACATTTAAAATAGCGATTCTTGCACTCGTCACACTAACTTGTGTTGCAGAAAAATGAAAGGAATGCAGAGACTTGGCAAACCGACATCTGATTTTTCTGATATTACTATCGCCTAAAGTGTAGGTTTATCTTAACGAACCGTGAATTTGCGGAATAAAATTATATCAAAATGGTTTCCTCGGTGTACTAGACCTTTTGTGTCCATTATTTAATTAGGTAGTGAATGTTGTTGAACGTCCCAATCAGCAATATACCAGCTATATTACACTGGTTTGTAAATAACCTAGCCTTGGCAATAAAAAACAGTAGTTAAGAGGGTTTGAGCAACACTAACGATCAACGACATCGGGGCACGATGCCACAGTAAGGTCACATCGTCTACCATCATGACCCGGACCTTTCTACAAGAGTGATGTACTGATGACCTTTCATGTCCCTGGATTCCCCATGCATTGGGAAAGAATGGAATCTGAAATACGAATTCGGAGTGTTGCTTATTTTGTGTTGTAGACAAACACGCCATACTGTCGAAGTATTTACAAAATAGTCAAACCCAATTCAGTACCAAATGAAAGACCATGCTTGTCAAAGCCTGAAAACTAAACTTTACCTTATACGCGTGTATGCTTAAGCTTCACGTAAGAGCGTGTGCGTGTGTGTGCGTGTGCGTGTGCGTGTGCTTGTGCGTGTGCGTGTGCGTGTGCGTGTGCGTGTGCGTGTGCGTGTGCGTGTGCTTGTACGTGTGCGTGTACGTATGCATGTGCGTGTACGTGTGCGTATGTGTAAGTCTTTAATGTGAGTTAATATGCCTACATGTACTTACGACACAAACGTATTATATGAGTAAAGGAATAGGTTGGTCAGCAGTATAATTGTAATTTGTACGTCACATATTATACATGGGTAAGAACATGTTGCAAATAGTTCTCTATTTCTTATAAGTATGTATATGGTATCGTCTGGTTAACTACTGAGAACACCGCGAAGGCTCTGACGGTTTATGTAACCCCGCTCGAATCCCAGATTTCCCCTGATTATTATTCTTAGTTAGTCAGTACGGTTCTCATGTGTTTCGTAGTATTTGAAATATTGTTCTAAGCGGCGTTAAGCTAAACGCACTCACCCACTCACTCACTCATTAAATTAAATGAATTAAATCTATAGACTGTCTAGACACTATGGAGAATTACCAGCATAAGACATTAAATATGTTAATATAGAGTAGAGATAAGAGAAGGCATTACCAGGTTCCATAATATCCTGATTTATCACTGATAACATAGAGGATAATGAAAGTAAAATTCATTGATGACGTCACAAACGATCTTTACCGCACCAGGGAACCATGTGTAGTTATTATTTCCTGACCGTTCAGTTTTTTACATTGTACAGTGTTCTTACTAACAAGATGATATGTTCCTGTCTCATGGTCGTATTAAAAATGTCGTCAAGCATTGAACAGCCTTGTGTTTTGTCACTTCTGCCTGGAGATAAATAATAACTTATAGAATCTATTCTTAACAAAGAGCGGTTGGGAAGCCTAGTTGTTAAAGCGTTCGCTCGTCACACCAAAGTTCCCGACTTCGATTCCTCACATGGGTACAATGTGTGAAGGCTATTTCTTATGTCCTCCGCAGGAATATTGCTAAAAGCGGCGTAAACCCATACTCACTCTCTATTCTTAACAAGCTTAGAAAGTGACTTCCACGGTGACGAGATTTCAAAGTACATGTACACTTCTTTATACGATCTTGTTATCATTTCGTTGAAATCTCTTATACATGTTTATATGGTTTCATGGCGTTTCTTGCACGCAGCAGTATTCTGGAGGCGTATGTTTGTACTTCCATGCTTCAGTTGCATTCAACAAAGTAATAGTTCACATCATTATGACCATTTCCAATTAACCCGATTGCTTTCCGGTTACGAAGTTCAGGATTTATTTGTCGATCTGTGTTTATTTCTGGACGTCATTTCACATGGATCGTTATTATTTCAAAGGGAATATGCGATCTGAAATAGCACTCAAAAAGCAATAACTTGTTCGATTCAAAATGTGATGCAATTACTGTGACAGTGGGTGAGATGTGTTATGTTACGTAACAAACACTATCGATGTGCTCTCAGAGGTTCTGAATTTATTTATGGATTCACAATGCCAGTCACACATTGTGCAGGCTTGTGAAGAATTCATCACCATTGAAATTTCAATACAATTTTTTAAACAAAATAACAATTTTGTACTCTCAAGAAATAATATATTTTCAATTTTCAAACATCCAGAGCCCTACGTTACTGTTCAATTCTTGAAACTGTTTTTGTCAAATTCAATGTCCAAGAAATAAAAGGAGTCAAACTATACAGTTTGTGGAAACCGTAACTACAAAAAAGTGCCAGGGATTTATAACATGTGGCGTTCACGTAATACACAGCCGGGGCCGATCTGATCTATATCCTTCCAACAAGGTTGAAAGCCCTTGGGGGCAGTTCTGTTACTCATATCTGTAAAAGAACCAAGCTAAAGTTTGCAGAGTGTAACACAATATCGATTACCCCTGAGCCTAGCAGGATTCGACAGACAGAAAGCTGCTAAATTGGAACTATGAAAAAAGTCCTTCAGACTCGGTATTGCTTTAAGTATTTTGTTTAGAAACCGAATTCGATTTTCGTTGTAATGCTACACTTAGAGGTGAGGTGGCGGTTTTTTCGTACCGTCGTTCTAAATTTAAACAGTTTTCATTCAGTTCGAGTGTCATCTCAAGTTTGGAGGAAATGAAAGTTTGGACAGCAGAAGACAGCATGAATGTCGGGTAGTCTTACAATACTCCCCTAGGCCAGGGTCCGTCAAATCCAAAGTGCTCTCTGTTTTGAAGTCATGGATATTTCAATACCACTCGGGGTCGTACTTTCCCTCATTTGTCTCGGTTGTGATTGCAATGCCTATTTAATTCAGGGCACATGGTCGTTTTAGTCATTTATATTATGTGCAAATGCTTTAATTGTTGATTGTTTTAATCCCGTATTACTTTATTATTGTAGTGGGTGATAATAATTTGTTGGTGAGTTTTGGTTACTGAATATAAATATACAAATTCACCGCCAGAGTATAATCACTCTCGATTATCTGCCGAAACAGAATCTATTTGGCGCAAAAACAGCAAAATAGAGCTGAAAATTATATGAATTGATCATTGAAAATCAGTGATGGCGGTCGGTGTTCACGAAAAGGGAAAGCATGTACTACCCTACCCGTAGACACCCACCACTTACACAATTTACATGAAAAAGTAAGTGTCTGTTTGTTACCTGACACACCTTCTCTCTTTGCTTGTACTTCCTTTCTTTTGGAGTGCATACTGCACGTGTATAACATGAATTTAAAATGAGCGTGAGCTGCAATCTGATTGGCTGATTGGGATGCAGATACAACTTACAAATCTTCACTTTTAAAAGTATTCGTTTTTCCTCACTCCCTGATTTGAAAGAATGTGCCATCGAATGAATACCACATTAATCAAATATTTCATTTGATCAATTTTTTAACTCCAATTGAGTTAGGGTTAGTACTCATTCAGACTGGTTCATGTGTCACGCAAGCAATTGACGTAATCCATTGTAACATGACATCATTATATTCCTGAATGACGCCGTGGCATTCTAGTGTGACGTTCACGTCACATAAGGAGAGTGCTACGACACATTACTGATATCGTTTGTATATTTTTCATGGTCGATAAGCTCCCCAACCCCCATACTGCTTGACGAAGCTTTTCTTTGCATGTAAATAATAACATGGTCTTTATTTTTGTTTGCAGTCAGATTTGAAAATGAAGAACACGAAATTCAAAGATTTGTGGATTATCTGAAGAAGTCCTACCCTGCGGAATTTCATTCTTTTGAAGGGAGGACAATGGAGGATATTATCTACAAATTGCAGAGCAAAATCAGATTAAGAAGTGAGAATGATCTATACTGTTTACCTTGCAATTGTAACCAGAATCACACCATATCTATGCCAGGCCCTAAGGATTACACGTTACTTAAAGACACAACTAAACCCAACGGAAAACCTGTAAATAGTTCCTCCAAATCTTCTCAAAGTGATATTGTGACTACAAAACCCTTGACTAGTGGCATATTGGACGATGGCGGGGGTGGTGCTACCCATTTTACGGAATTGCAAGATGGCAATAGTGTGATTGAAAACAGGACAACGACAGGTAATGATACAGTTGTTCCTCTTGACCTCAGCAAAGTGTTTGTCTTGGAGATTAACAACGTTAAGGAGAGTTTCTTTCTTGTGGCGGAGTACTACCCAGAACATGTGGCTCAGGACACGACGAAGCATCAACATTTCCACAGCGAGTACGAGAAAATACACGAAGTCTCCACTGGAATCCATCTCGGGAGTCTAGCGATACTGTCAATTATGGTAATCGAGGTAAGAGAATCAATCAGTGATTATTTGACGTTTTAAAGGGGGACTATGCTCGGCTAATTGGCATTCCAAGCAAATTTGATCCACCTCTGTCTGCCAGTTCAAATTCCATGACGTGTACCAATTTTACAGTTATTACTAACCCTGATTACACAGTTACTATGTCTAAGTTTCACACATGGTATTAATTACAATGTCTAGAATTGGGCAGAAAATGGGCTCCAGAGCATTGAGTATCGTCCCCTTTTAAACGAATGGATGGAGTGAGGAGGACGCCTCGTTGGGGTTATAAGTTTTAGATTGGACACTGGTATGCCTTATCCTCATGTCTTCGTGCCGAGAAAGATTGAACGAATTTGATCCCGATGTGGCCGACTCAGGCAATTCAAGAGAAATCTTAATGAAATCAATGGGGATTAGTCTTGCCCAGAGAGTAATAGTGTTACACATTTCACAGAGTTTTCATTGCGTTCTACAAATGATGTATCTTTCGCATGGTTTTCTTTTTGAACATTTGGCAACCCTATATGCCCTTGTGTATGCAGTTGGATACAGATAATGTTCATACCAGTAACTTCATTTGTGGATGTCCAGAAGTAGAAGTAGAGCCAAGAATGTCGACACGTGTTTTAAGAGAGATTTAGATCATGGTCTGACAAGATCTCTTGCAAACTGTGACCTTGCCCTTCACTGCCGCCGGGCTAGGATATGCTCACCTATTTCGTGAACACCCTGTGTCACCATTTTACATTGTCTTGCAAACACCTGGTGTCAACATTTTACATTGTTTCGCAAACACCTGGTGTCAAATTTTACTGTGGTTTACAAACACGCGGTGTCACCACTGACAGTGTTTCAATGATGTTACTTGGCCGACTTGCCACTTGAGTTTAGGCTCTGGACCGACTTGCTTCCATTTTGTAAGACTGTTGATTCTGACAGTGATATGAATAACCCAATTGACGTGTTTGTTGTAAGAAAAAAACTTGTTTTTGAAGTGATTAATGAAATTGCACTAATGTTTAACTGCACCTCACGGAGCATCTTGAGACGAGTTATTGACGTGTGTCAACCTTTTTAGTTTGAAGTAAAAGTTTGCGGATAAAGATCAAATCTTTGAGAAAATGAAGGTGCTTTTGATTCAAGTCACACGCATTCATTCTCTGCATGTATTCAACGGTTAGTTGATAGATTATGTGTTTTGATGTCGATGGTGTTCTTGGGCATCATACACAAGAGAAATTCATTTGAAAGCAAAGGAACCTGCAGCTGTTTTCAAATTTGTTGGTATTATGGACGTGGGAATTCCATTTGGAACAGACGACGTTTATCGACATTGTAAATTAAAAGCTATCTGCAGGCCCTCTTTGTGTATGCGGACGCAAAAAGTTGTGAGACAGAAATTGGATTACTTTGGAATGCATCGACGTCAACAAATAATGAATGACGTCATGTGTTCCATGACAACCGAACCCTGATTATAATTATGCAGACGAACATCAATGAAGAGCATGTTCTCTCTTATATTATAATCGAAGGGAATGTATCATCAAAGCGATGTTCATGTTGGGCAGCAGAAAACAACTTTCACATATTTCAACTGGGAATTGATATTTTAAATGAAAAGCATGAATAGGCCTATATCGGTATACGTATACAATGCCTTTTTAGTTTGATTCTTGAATATTTGTATATAATATAAAATAATAATATTTGGACGTAATATCATTTTTCCGGATACCAATCTCGTTACTATTACACAGTAACCAAGCTATTTAAATACATGTATTGTATGCTAAATTTGTGTACTGAAACATCAAAATATGTGATTATTCGCAGAGCGTCATTTCTAATTACTGTACAACTTATTGTTAATGAAAGTGGTGATGGTATTTACATAAAAACAAAGATTCATTTAAATCATTTGGTTAGAGTAGGCTACATGTACCCATCACGAGAACACATTGTCATGATGTGGAGAAAGAATCGAAAAGGTTTTTACTAAATTGTTTGAACATCATTTCTCTACAAAAAGCCAACAGTATGTTTGCTTTGTTTTACATCTGACCAAAATGCCTACCAAGCTCATCCGATATTTGTATTAATAGAGCGTCGGGCATTGTTTTGTTGCTCTTGCAACTCAAACAGTAAGTGGTATATAAACGATATATTTAAGGCTACGAAAAGTAGACAATTGCTTTGATTAGTCTTGTGAGAAGACATTAAGGCAAGAAGTAGGCATTACGATAGGCTCCAGCTGTGTTCACCTTCTGTCTGATCTGGTTCTTTAAGCATATGAATCGGAATTTAATTGGATTGGCAAAATCAAAACAATTCGGGCTAGTGGTATACTTTAAGATTTAGGTATATCGATAATCTAATATCGTTCCAAAGTGATCAAGTAACGTTCTACTTATTTTCTTTCCTAAACTAGAAATAAAACAGACCAGTGAAACCATCTCATCTGTTCATGTTTAGGTCTATGAATAACGATTCAGAGGGACAAAAAACTCTCCGGAAGACTGTGACAAGAGGCATGACTTCAACTTTCCAATAGTAAACTTTCCCTTTATGTAGCAATGTTCTTGCAACATTTTGGTGTCTACATCTCACTACTTTGAGGTACAAAAGATCGCCATATCAGTCATTCAAAAAAAGCTCACGTAACTGATTCATAGAGTCAAAAGTGCGTTTAACAAGAAATAAAAAAGTACATGTAAAGGATTCTACTTTTCGAACGAATATAATTCCGTGGATATCAAAACAAAAACTACATGAAACTGATAATAATGATACAGTGAGTGAGTATTATTTTACGCCGCTTTTAGCAATATTCCAGCAATATCACGGCTGAGGACACCAGAAATGGGCTTCACACATTGTACCCATGTCGGGAATCGGACCCGGGTCTTCGGCGTGACGAGCGAACGCTTTAACCACTAGGCTACCCGACCGTCCCGATACAGAAACAGATACTAATATGCTTCATCAAAGCTAAAAAGGAAAACATATGATAGAGTGAACGCTCCATCAAACATGAACCTACCCTGTATCATCATAAGACGTTTCTTGTATTATAAAATTTGAACGGATATGTGATCCTGAAGGAAAATCCAATTCCTATTTTCATTTTATACATGTATCTTCAGTTAAAGCAAGAATAGTGCACAGTTGCTATCACACGTTATCCTAATTGCTTCTGTGTATGTTTACACTGTTAACTACTTATTTATTTTATTTACTTATGTCGTGGTGATTAGTCAAATAGCATCGACGTAAAATAAAACCTGACGCAATTACATTTAACATGTGAAAACCCAGCCAATTTTGTTATTTCAAAGACTTGTACAGTTACAGAGAGCATAACACGTGAACACCTGGTGTCATCGCTGATTTGTACTGATTCATACATGTAATGTTCACTCATATTTTGCCTCTTACGCCCAATGGCATCTGTTTCGGCGTGTTGATACTACTGATCTGTACTTATGTTTGAGCTGCATATGTTGCAGCGTTTGTGCACCATATGTTCTCATGTTTGTGCTATATCTGTACCTGTGCAAATAATAAGAAACACGGGGCGGGGTAGCCTAGTGGTTAAAGCCTTCGCTCGTCGATTCCCAATATGGGTACAATGTATAAAACCCATTTCTGGTGTACCCTGCCGAGATGTTGCTGGAACTAAAACCCATTCACTCACTCAGTACGTAACACGAATGTACATATCTGTTCTATTATTTTACCATAAGATACACCTCCTGTCCATAGTACCACGTGGGTAGCACGTGATTACCATATATTTCCTTTACATCCATCATCTCTTTATATGGCGAATAGCCATAATATTCAATTGGTTTCTGAGCTGCACACAGTGGAAATGGAACCTCGGTAATGCCAGTCCCCTACCAACGTTTGGGCAGAAATTATTCGTAATTTTACAGCCAGCATTGACAGAGATGAGAACCTTGCCATCATTCCTAAACCAACATGAAATAACGACTGGTAGAATTGATTAGAGCCCGAAACTCTGCTGCATGACCCAGTGGGATCTACAGCTGTGTCGAAAATAGGCGCGAATGTCGCTATTGATCAAACTTTACGGCAAGGATGTCTGAGTGCCGACTTTTGGCAATGCTTCAATCACCCCTCTTGATCATGTCTGTGATTTGCTATGTATGATTGATTACTCAAAGTTGATCCTTGTGACATGCTTTCATTTCTTTATCATTACATAATTAGTTCCAGGCTCGAGTAGTTACGCCGGGCTCAATTCTCAAGATTGAGGCTACTTAGCCGTTCATTGGGCTGTTGTATAGGTAAAGTGGGTCAACAAACAATTTGTATTTAAAAATCAGAACATATCGTATACTTTATTTGGAGGAACGGTAAGCGCAAAATATCCAGTACCTTGTCAGAGTGTTAATAATTCTGTACAAAGGCACCTTACGCATAACCTCTCCGTGTTGAGTCTCTGTATTTTTGTTTGTATCACCCTGTCTATCCTCCTCGCTATCTCTATACTCTCTCTCCTCACCTCCTCTGATTCTCGAATTTTTGTCTGTGTCTATGTCACTTTCTGTCCTGTTTCCCCTTCCTCACTGTAACATTGTCTTCTGCCTCCTTTCTCTCTGTGTCTCTCCCTCCTCTATCTCTCTCTCTCTCTCTCTCTCTGAGGCCCCCACTGTGTATACTCGTTTCTTATTTTCAGATTTTCTGTACCGCAGAACAACTATGCCTCGATCGATCTTTCATTCCGCCCCTTTGCTTCTCAATCTCTTGCCTTTCAGCCCCCATGCCTCTCAGCATCTCTGCCTTCAAGGTCTGTCTGTCCGCCTAACCCCCATATGCCATTCTCATGCCCCCCCCCCCCCCCCCCCCCCCCCAATCTACAATGTACACGATAACATTGTGTGAATATAATACTTTATTAAAAAGATCTTTATTTCCTATTGCAAAAGATCATGTTATAATTGTATTTAACACAAACAGGCTTGAACGCCACTTACTGGGAATAGTCAGGCCATATCACGGCAATGGGTCATCAGAAATGGGCTTCACATTTTGTACCGGTATTAGGGATCGAACACAATTGTGTGACCATGAAAACAATTTATATAATGGTACTTAAACAGAAAGCACTGTATGAGTGGGTGTGGATTGTCTGGTCAAGACTCGATTGTTTAGTGGCCGCCGTCGTGTAACAGGAGAAATGCCTTACATTTTGGTACAAATAGTGTAGGTGGCGGGCTCTACCGGTAGAGCAGGACATGCGAACTCATTTCGCGAACAACTGGTGAATTTCAGTGATCCATTCACGCGATTGTCACCACTATTATGCCTTTTACTACCAGTTGAATCTGTTTCGGTACATAATCGAGACTGATTATTTTATTTGTTGACGTTTTGTATTTAGTAATGTTCCAGCATCGCGGGGGACAACAGAAAATATTTTCACACTATGTACCCCATCGGGGAATCGAACCATGGCCTTTTTAACCTCTAGGCATGATGGCAACTGGAATCTACTGTGTATCATACGTTAATATGGAGACAAATATAGCAGTGAAACTGTTTCCCAGGGATTTGTTAATTATATTTTATGTATTTGAAATATTTTTTTTCAGCTCTTCTTCAGAACACGTAATTACAACGTCCGTCTATTGAAATTAGTAGCTTCCCAAAGATACACTTAATACTTCTTCATCTTTGATTGCCATTGATACGTGATGTAATTACCTAAACGCAATGCTTTGTTTCCAATGAGTATTGCCGTGATTAATTTGTCTACCGCGTGCCGCAACCTGTTGTAGAAAACCAGTGCTTTGCAAGCATTCATCGTTCCAGTAAGGAAACACTGACGAACTCGCGTTCATATTTTTCACTGACACTAGACTAAGAGTATCTGGTTCATTATATTGGGGATTGGGCGCCAGTCCCTGATTAAACGCCGGCATGCATTCGAGATTAGAAGACGAATTAGCAAATTACACAAAGCTGTAATGATATTTTCTTTAATATCTCTATTATTTGTTTTTTGTCACTTTACTCGAAATGGCATTACCTTAAGATTTGAAATTTAAAAACGCTTCGTTGTTATAGTTAACGATGATCGGAATTATTCCTGTAGTTAAATCATATTTTCTAAAACCATTAGATGAATGATTGCAAACGGTAACGCTAACTTGAATAATGATAGATGATTATTGAAATGAAAGGATTTTATAATTGAACAACTCTTTTTCATTTCCGTTTGATTTTCTCGCAGTTGCATGAAAATGCCTGGACATGAGGAAGTCAAGCATCGAGGAGTGTGCGAATTAGGCAACCGATTTAGCACAGCTATACAACAACGGCATGTGTCATCAATTTCATGTACTTGAACAATTAGTGATCGATAGTATGAGCACAAACAAATGTACGATGACACACAATCAGCCAGGTTCAGCTGCTAGTTGTTACATCCTGGTGACCACAAACCCAAACAGTATTCCAACCATCGTGACCATCTCGGTGTCGTCGCATCGTTTAACACACTAGGGTACCTGGGACATGTTCTAAGCTGGGATTAGTGATCAATTTCAAAGGGAATTAACATACATCCTTTGGCGAAGCAATAGGCTGATACATGTGATACGTCTTAACTATATAGAAATTATTATCCAAGTGTGTTTCCGTATCGTAAATATCATATGTAAGGAATATAAATTGTAATACATAAGAGGGGTGGCTGAAAGGTTCCGAGTGTAAATATGATGGACTGCGTTGATGGAGTTGGTTGCTAATTATATTTCAATACAAGCCCCTCTGACACTTCTGTCAACGAAGTTTGAGTGTCTGGATCCCATTGGTGTAGAAGGCTTGCTCCTGGTGGTTTAAACAATTTATCCACGGCAGAAATGACGTCATCAACTTTTTGCATACTTGTCAGACAGTTCTTTCTTCAAATTTGGGAAAAGGTGGAAATCTGATGGTGCCAAATCTGGTGAATATGGAGGATGTATGGCAACAAACAAATTTTGAACAACACACCTTTACTAAGCTTCTCACGACGTTTTGCCTTGACATTCTCAAGCAGTTGCCAAAGCAAATTAGCATAATATTGGCCATTAATGGTCTCACCATTTCAGGATGGAGTTCATCAGAACGATTCCTTTGAAATCCTAGTAAAACGAAACCGTCGCCTCATCAGCTGATGGAACAGACGTAAGCTTCTTTGGAGGAGGAGACGTTAGATGTTTCCACTGCTTTGGCTGTTAGTGGTGAACCCAAGACTGATCTTTGGTTAGAAATCGCTCAACAAAATCAGCTAAACTGCTTCAAAACGATATAGATTCACACAAGATATGATGAAACTGGGCCGTTTTGGATCAGTCGTCAGAAGCCTTCGAACCCAACCTGCTGAAACGTTTGTTATGCCATTCAGTCCTCAGAATATTATCTACTCTCTCATGAAAGATGCCTACTGTATTGGCTATGTGGCGTGTGGCTTCCTCTTCCACTCTTGAACGCCGCTGTCCACCTCTTGACAGTGGTAACGGAAGGAGCATCATCCCCTAACGTTGACACGATGTCTGCATGCATGTCTGCTAGAGTTAGTCCTTTCTACAACAGAGAATCACAAGTCACTTTGAAATCTGCAGAAATCTGCTGCCTGTTTTTGTATTTGGCTCAAATGCAGTCTGTTAAGGGTGTACTATACACCCTTCGTAGTTATAGGCTCAGAACTATTCAGTCATCCCTCGTAATTGATATCTTTGTAATGACATAATGACGATCATTGTATTTTCATTGGTAAGAAGTTTGTCATTTCCCAGCGGGGTATATGAAATTTGTGTCTTATCTGTCAGCGGGGTATATGAACAAAATTGCCCATTCAGTAACCAATCAGAACCGAGTATCTTAGTGCAAGGTAAGATAAGTACATTTACAAAAAAAACAATCTGAAATATCGATCAGCAGCAACTATAGTATATATTACATTGACAAAGGTATATGGTTACTGTGTGCAGATACCTTAAGTGATAGTTAAAAATTACAAATAGTTTGTGTAAGACTTCCGCCCGAATCCTCCCTCCAAAACTTATATACATGTATGTATATATACCTTTAAATTATATATATTTTTGGGAGGGATAAGGGCGGAAGTCTTACCATAGTTTGATGATATGGACTACACTGCTTTACATGATGATCAATAATCTAAGTTTGAACAAGACAAGCCTCTTCTCAAAACCGATCAGGTTGTTTCATGTTGTAATAGTGCATATTGGGTAAATAGAAAAAGTCATCACAACAACATTTTCTTTCCTTTTAAAGAACATCAAAATCAATGCAAAGCTTTCGAAAGTCTATAGCTACAACCCAATTCACCTCACCACTTTATATCTACTAAAACGAACATGTGTAGGGTCATGGACTTCTTGAGCTATGCAATAATTAATAACATGGTAACAGTAACTTACACGTACGCTCAACAGACCCAATTTGTTTCTTCTACTCATTTTTAAATATTCAAATATGTTTGCTAGAGAATTTCATTACAGCTCGCACTTGGTTCAGAGATTTTCAAATAGACTGCATTTTACATACTGGTACTGAATCAGGGGAGAAAATCTTACGATCTTGCCAAATTTTTTATTATCTCTTAAATATCTACAGAGGTGGAGGAAACATTGGGCCCGTTTCCAACATAGCCCCAAGAGTTGTCTACCTTGTTCGCCAGATTCCATCGGAGAGCCTTTATACCGACATTTGTCAAGCTGTAAAATGTTTTGTTGTTTATTTATTTAGCTAGTTCGGTCCTTTCATTATCCTGTTCTGTTTTTGTTTTCAGACTTTCATAAAGCTGTTCTGTGTTGGTTTAAAGTTTTTCAAGAAAAAGTTCGAGGTAAGGTGCATGTGGACAATACATATTGGATATCATTGTGATAAAATGTAGAATAAACTGTTTTCTTAGTTTATCTTTAATATTATTGTCATAATGGACATGGAGTTTTCACACCTTAATTATATAATTATACTGGCTTTTACTTGATGAGTGCAACTGTTGAGCTGGACATGCTTACCCTTGTCACGAACACTTGGTGTCATCACTGAGTTTTCAGTAATCCATTCCTTTTTTCAAGACTATATTGCCTTTTACGCCCTGTTTCGGCAGATATTCGAGGCTAATTATTCTTTTGTAGTGAATTTACACATTGTGTAAAATATTCTACTCATCAGGAGTTAAAGAACACCCTACTGTTTCATATGATTAAAATTAATCTGTCATGGTTGATGGGTATTGATACGCACAGCTTCGAATTGTGGGTGCTCTTTAACTTGTTTTGAGAAGTACTAGCATATATTTGACTAAACTAAACGGTGTTATGAAACGTGTTACATGAGGTCCGGGCACCTGTCCACAAATAAATCATAGCACTGTGATTGTTTTTCGCTTAGATCTTTCTATTGAACCAAACCCAGACAGCATGAAGCAACTGCTCCATCGTATTATTCATATGATATTAGAAAGTAGAATATAATAGACACAAAACTCATGATCAGATATCATATTGAACTATAACGTACGGGTTTGGCTTGTGTGACGATCTTAGCTGCCTTTGTTGTTATACATGTACATGTGAAAAACCTTGTATCATCCCTTCATGGAATGTTTATAATATAACTGCAGCTACAGAACTTTACTGTGCAATGACATACACAGAACTGCACAATTTCTTTTCCTGATATGGATTTGATATTTCTTCGCATTTACCTTTTGCGTAAAGCACTGATGCCATTAAAAAAGTCCACTTATTCATAGCAGGCACTAAACGATTGAAAGAGTTGAAATGGTTGTTTTCGGTTTTAGGTATTTGACGCCTTCATAGTGATAGCATCGTTTGCCTTGGATTTCATCTTTCTGGACAGCCGCTGGTATGAGACAGGGAAAGATGCTACAACGATCCTCGTCTTGTTACTACCATGGAGAGTAGTGAGGATTGTAAATAGTGAGTAATCTGTAAACTTCCGCAGTGAATCGCATAAAGAATGTAGAAACGGCTCTGCACCTACATTGTTTTGAATGCATATATCCTCCGTGAGGCTTCTCGGCGGAATAACTTCCACCACCCAAATTTGTTACAGACGCTTACTGATTTGATTCCTCGTACACTGACGGTGTGGATCTATTTTATCAAGTATTGGTTTGTGTGATTAAGACACGATACTTGTAGATTTTGAATGATGCTGAGTCCTGCGTGAAACGATATTAAGTCATTCAAGTTTTGTTTAGCCTGGTATGGTTTGAATTATCCATGCCTCAATGATTGAAGGAAAATGACACAAGCATTGACTTCAGATCTTAAGTTTGCTGACTGACATTGTCCTTCTTTTACCATAGTGAGTGAGTGAGGTTTTACGCCGCTTTTAGCAATATTCCAGCAATATCACGGCGGGGGACACCAGAAATGGGCTTCACACATTGTACCCATGTCGGGAATCGAACCCGGGTCTTTGGCGTGACGAGCGAACGCTTTAACCACTAGGCTACCCGACCGCCCCTTTTCCATAGTGAGTGAGTTGGGATTAACTGTGCTCTTAAATCACCAAGTATAAACTTAATGTAGGAATGTCATGTCCCTAAATTGAGGCAGGTCACACATTTACCACTTCGGTGAATTATGTATGTTGCTGAATCTGGGATTCGAACACTCGAACAGCGGATCTTGGTGGACAAATGGACGTAGCTTTGCATTGCAAAATGCGGGGCTGTATGTCACTTAAATTAAACCAGAGCCAAAGTTGTATATTTTCGCATTTCACGTTTCGCATTCTCGATGTCTATCTTTAAATGATACATGTTCATTTCAGGTTTCCTGATGACGGTGAATCATAAACACCATATTGAAATGATGACCATAAAACGCGCTAAAAAGAAGAGTGAGGTGAAGAACGCAAAGCTGAACACATTACTGGCAGAAATACGGGTATGTATGACCAATACGTATGCCATCAGTGACGGTATGTATGACATCAGTGCCGGGTATGTATGGCACCAATTGTGTTTATGCATGACATCATTGACAGGCATGCATGACATCAGTAAATGATATCTACATCTATGAAGGTTATTTATCATGACATCAACGACAGCTATGCGTGACATCAGGTGCGGATATGTATAAATCAGCGATAGTGTTTATTAAATCAGTTACTGGTATGCATGGCAGCAGCGATGGATATTAATAACATCATTGACGAGTTCGTATAACATCAGTGACGGGTATGTATGAAACCAGTGGCGAGTATATATGTCATCAGTGACGGGTATGTAGGAAATCAGTAAAGAGTACGTATGGCAGCAGTAACGGGTTTCCATGGCAGCAGTAACCGGTGTGTGACGAAGCACACACAGTTCGGCACACTACTGGCAGAAATAGAGGTATGCTGAACCTAATGACGGGTTTGTTCTTGAACAAGACTGGCAGAAATACGGGTGTATATGACCAACAGTGACGAGTATAATAAAACTAAAAACCACCCGTCTGAACACCCGATCCTTGACGGGTATGTTGTGAATTGAAAGACGACTTGCTGAACACAGTACGGGTATGTATATAGCATGATCCCAGGTCAGAATAGGTCCCCCGTACTTCATGTGTGTCCTTACAGTCGACTGTATTGGTGATTGGGTGGTCAGGCTCTGTGACGTGGCTGTCATCGTTCCTCGATCGCTTGGATCGTTGATCATGCTTTCACTCACTGTGTCGAGCCCAGACACGATTATTTACATGTGGTCGGAATATTGCTGACTGTGGCGTTAAACTCACATATAAGTGTGCATTATTTAACACTCCACTTGCAGACAATCAGGTAAGTATAATGTAGTGTGTAGCAGGTACTCACAAAACATATAGCGCAGATTTGGTTACGTAACTACCACCAGTGTAAATATCATGATATGATGTAGCATAGAAAGGAATTCTGTAACATAATCTAGAAGGTATGATGTACAGCGTTCACCCATAACTGATTTGATTTCGACCCCCATTCAATTTGCGAAGCCTATTCTGTGTAATGTCACATGAAGATTTAAAAGGTGGTGTAAAACGATCCTGAATAACTGACTTTAGAACTCGAGTGCTGTTTATGAGGCCAGAGTGAGCAATCTGCATTACTTCTTTAAGAAATTGTCACAGTACTGCAAAATATTTTGACTTCGCCTGCACACGGTAATTGGATATTGGTTGCTCAGTGGTTAATTTAAAGTATTTTCTAATCGGTCAGATGATCTAGGTTCTATTCCTACGGGTACAAACTGTGAATCCCAACGTTGGAACGTTGGTATGTCTCGATATTTAACCATTAATATAAGAACGCGGTAAAACCCTTGACACTTACTCACTCACTGAAAGGTCATTCGAGTGTGTATTATTGGTATGCATGGCAGCAGTGATGGATATTTATGATATCATTGACGAGTACGTATAACATCAGTGACGGGTGAATATTGCAGTATCGAATGTGGTTTCAATACTCTATTTCTCAAATACCCAAGTTGTCAGACATGTCAACAAGGAAGGGCTGTGATGATAGGCTAAGTCTGCCTATTGTTACCATGGATCAGCCCAGATTGTCTGAGAGAATCTCAATTGACACATCGTTCTATTCATATCTTAGATCAGTTAAATATTTTTCCCAAATCATGTTTAAAAAAATCAAATATGATACTTAAAATAACGGCCCGTTTTAGAATATATCATAATCCTGTTTAACACATTCAAATAGGAACATATCTATTGAAAAAATAAAGCCGAGCCCAAACAAACTTTTAAACTAAACTTTTAATAATATTTTTATTTTTTCACCAAATAGCCCAAAGGTTAAATAATTAAGATACTATTTTATAAGTTAAAAATTATATCAAATTGACCTTTGTTAGGTGATAAAACATGTTATGTTTACCACAGCCTTTGTTTTTTATAAGAAACTGAAAACCGAAGGATCAGCTTGTCCGTGGAGCCTATGCCACAGGGAACGTATCAACGGATGGATTAGTTATCCACTCAACCATGACCTATGCGATTATAAGCTATCTGACCAGTGGGGTGTCTGTCAAACGGGGAGACACCTTGAATGTACAGTCTTAGATATGCATGGATGTAGTATTTTATCTGGCGTTGCTACTGAACAAATTTACGTATTTTTATGAGATTTTGGACATTCAAAGAGTAATTGGTTCGAACCCCATGATAGAGGATACCAATGAGAGTAGATTAGCTTTGTCTTTTAAGAACGAATTAAACGCTTTCATAATGATCTTTGGTATTGTGAGAGAATTCTAAACGTCTGTAAAACATGTTTTCGAAAGGTTTGTAATGTAATAATCTGTTGGTAAACCGAAAACAAATGTATTATATTTAGAAAAAAAAGAATGATAGGATTTCGAAAAGCAGAAAATCGGATTATTGCGACCAAATTAGACATATTTAAGAGTGGTACTTGCATTCATGACCCAGGATCGCTCTAAAGACAAGAGACACCCAGTGGATGCAATATGTCATTCATCGAAGCGGCTTGTCTCAGAGAAGAGCCGTTGTTCTTTCCTTTGATGGAATGGTGGTACAGTATGCGCCTACATGTTAACGTCGTTCTGCAACTGATCGAAGAGCATCTAAAATGGATGGTGTCTGTGTACGCCTACTTTTTGCGTAGCCATGAGTTGTTGATATAATGGTTACAATAAAATTAGGTCTATGCATTTCATCAAATACATCCAGATGAAGGCCCCAAAATTACCTAACAGCTTAAAGATGTCTTGCTAGGAGAGTTATATCAATCCGTAAAATGCAAAGAGTACGAGTCACATTGTTTTCGGCGTTTATTTATAATCAGTAGGCCTACACATACAAATATTTCACAAATGCGGGATTTAATTGATTTGTTAGGAGATTTTTCTTCCCGTTGAGTAGGTTAACTAAACTGCCGGGCAAAAGAAAGTATTCACCCATGTTTGATGTTGGCTTAATATGAAAGAATTCTATTGAAATGTATTTCATACGGGTTCATTCATTCATAGCTGTGTTTCGGCGACTGTTTACAGCCAAGTAACGTTTTGATAACGTTTGTAATTTTTGCGTCAAATCCTTTTTCAGGTGTATTCTTACTTTTGTCCGGGAGTTTACTTCCAGTAATGCCAAAACATCTAGTAGGGCAAGGGAAGTAACTCTTTAACATCTCCCAAAACATTTCTCTTTCGTTTCACTTTTGCTTTTTTACTCTACCGACAATAGTTTTACGGATCGCTTTACGAACGTGACATATATTTATATTTCACCCTCCGACCATATGGTTTCGAAAATACATCCGTAAACCAAATAATTTTAAACCATATCTCTTGGGGATGCACAAATGTTGGTACTGTCGGGGGAAACGCTTATTGTTGTCAAACAGCGGTACAATAATGTCCCGATAGTTACATATATTATTAAAGGGCAGTTATGAACACATTTTCCCTGAAACAGACGTGCAGAACATATTTTTTGTGAATTGTATGGTCTGAAGTAAACTAAACGTGATATATACCAAGTGATCAAATGGACAAATTCATCCTTTAGCAACCATTTTACATGTTACTAATAATCACCATCACCATCACCATCACCATCATTCAGATTGTTCATGTTGATGTGATGTTATTGCAGAAAGACGTCCAGCTGTTAGTCGCCCTGTGCAAAAGCAAAGACATCCCCGAAATTGAAATATCAGCATGCGTTTGTAAGTATACGAAAAAATGAATAAATTCACATTTGTATATCTCTTCTAGGTAAATATTATTTTTATATCCGAATGATTTATTTCATGTCACAAAATGAGGTAACAACGAATGACGTCATCGTTACAAAACTTTTCCGCATCTCTACTCTCATTCATGTTTACCGTATGCAGGACGGGGTTGTAATTATTTCCTATGTTGACGCTCTGTTATCTTTAACGGAAACTATGCATCTCGGCTGCTTCTATCGACGATAGAAAGATTGAATTCTGTCGTAAGGTCACTCTTATGATTATGGAAAGGCTCTTGTCGCTTTTATTTGAAAATATCATATCAGAAGACATCTTCACGTGATTTCAGAAAAAAAATCAACTTTGAAAATGGTAAGGTATATCGTAATATGATAAGATAATACAGTATAACATTGAAACTAGAAAAACAACATTGTCTTATATTATAGTTTTATGAGTGAAAATGTTGGTGCACAACAAATATACCCGAATGCCCCGACAAAACCCGATTTAAACTCTGTAGTGGCGAAAAAAGTAAATGTGCGGGGATATGTGTATAAATACCTGAAAATTAAAAGTATTTGTGATTATCTGGACGTTATTGCTTTAACGATTAATCCTCATTCGAGTTTTAATACTTTGAAAATCTTTAAAAAGCTCATAAAACACAATTCTACAACCCAGTCAAATACAACTGATGTTTAAACGTTAAAGACAAAATTTAGACGTTTGAATTATATATATTTTGAATAAGCATAATATTAATAAGCCCATGCGCGTTAAGTATAATCAGAGCTTTTTTCTCTGTTGTGTCTGTGTATATTAGTTAATATCACTTGATTCTTCTAAATGACCACGTGACCAAATAATAATAATTTCAGATGGCAAAGGGCGACATAATGCAACAATAGCCGCCATGTCTTCATTCGCATCTCTCATGCTGATCAGTACACTGGGTAAAAACGCTATATACGAGGACGAAATATATGGCAAACTCTTCAGAGAGGCTCTGGCAGACGAAGACGAAGACGAGGACGAAAACGGAAATGACGTAAAAGAGGATACGGAAGTGGACGAAGCGATTGAGATTGATGTAAAACCAGCCAAAAAGGTAGAGACTAAGAAAAAGAAGCCCAAAAAAGTTCTTTGGAAGCGAAGTCATACGGTTCCTCGTAGAAGTCATAGTATTGAAAATATTGAAAATGGGAACGTGTTTTACGTCAACGATGGTTTCTTAAGTGCGACAGCCAAAGATGATAGAGCTGCGTCGGAAGAAGCACGTAGAGCTAGTTTTCACAGTAAAGCCTCAGTTCGTAGTACACCAGGGTACACGAGGGGGAGCAATTATGTGGTGAGTGGTGAGGACTATTTTTCTTCTATTATTCATCCTCTGACCAAAGGAGAACACTTCAGGGAAATCAAGGCCCTGGACCAACTGGTGAACGTGTTGTCGCTTCGTATCTACTTAGTCACCTGGCACTTGCCAATGAACACAAACATTACTGGCCAGTAAACTGTTAATTCATATTGCTTTCAAAATCGACACTTATTAGTAGATATGGGAGGTAGGCGAGGGTCAGCTGATGGCTTTGAGAAAATGTTATCCAAATCGTTAAAAACACGTTTGTGTGATAATTTTATGATGGAGATCAATCGAGCTGTTTGTGATTGATTTAATTACAATTAGAAACCGAATGTGGGAATATGACAGTGGAGCATACTCACATATACTAACCAAACCCCAACATACTTAAAATAGTATACGTTAGATGACATAATCTGATTCGATTGATGGATAGAGTCGGCTGACAGTGACCTTCGTGCATTCGAACCCGGGTTAAAAATAATGGCCAGTTTCTTTTGGGGTCTGCCTGTTGACTGAGTAGAAGACTGGTGAAAAGGTCTGTACGGAACAGACAACGGGTGCCAGTTTAGGATCTGGATATTCCCCAGATCAATGACAAATGTGTCATAAGCTTTTTTTGGTTTGCTTATATATTCTAGTTCATCCTCGCCACAAAGACCGTTTGGTACACTTTGCTGCTCTTCTTTTGCACTTTCATAGGTTTTAATCTTTTATTTGACAGACCGTGTTTTGACTTAGCATCGGCTGATGGTAACATGGTCGACGGTGGCGCATCATGGCACTACGATTATGGCGAAGGTTAAGTTAACCGCGTAAAGCACAGGGCGTACTTTCCGTGAAGTGTATCACTTGTTAGAGGGTGTTATTTTCTATTTTAGCAATACTAACAATTTAACTGCTTTATTTGTGGGAAATTTTTTGCGATTTAGTTCATGAGGAAAAATGATATTGACTTTACATCTTACAATGGGTAATAGTAAGTGCAATCGTGAATGAAATATTTATGTTTTGGCTTTACATCTTACAACAGCAAATATTCAAATATTAGTAAGTGCAAACCTGAATGAAATAATTATGTTTTGGCTTTACATCTCACAACAGGTAATATTAGTAAGTGCAATCATGAATGAAATAATGATGTTGGCTTTACATCTTACAGCCGTAAATGTGAGTATGTAACATATTGTCATCGTATAAAGGCATGTAAATTTATGCATATAAATTCCAAACTACAGTGCCATTTAAAGAAACCACAAGAAAAATATTACAGCCTCACAAATGACTGTTTTACAAATGGTAGTTTGGAACCTGTATCACAAGTTCATAATGTCGAAAATAGAAAATTCATTTGATTAAATTCGGAAAAAACATCAAATATGATTCTTTAAAATCTATCTTAAATGGGTAACTGTGATATATTTTGCATTATAAACTGCACTGACAGCTAATTAAAAGAGTAGAAAAATATGGGGAAACAAATCAAGTCACATTTGGATCAAGTCACATCAATCTTGACACCATGTATAATATGAATCAACAACCATTAACTAGTTATGAAGAAAAAAATGAAAAAGAATATATTCAGTCACACCACAATTAAATATCAAAGGCAGAGACACTTGGTACAAATCGAAAATTATTCATGTGATATGGTAATCAGTACAAGAAATGACTCCCAAAATGTAATTTCCACAAGTATATGTAGACTTACATCCTAAATGTTCTGTTGCAGACTTTCGAAGTCACAACACAAGTAACATACCTCTGAGGCGCGAGGACAACTCCGAAGAAGAGATCAATGTGTGATACGAAGAGCACCCCAGGACCCTACAACGTCTAGTCTTTTATCAAATATCCCATTATTCTTCTAATGCAATATATGCCTGCACGGGGTTGTTTTTTATCAGCTTCATTTAGAAAGTTGTCCTGAAGAGTACCTGTTCGAGAAGTATTCTTTACAGGAGTTTCCACTATTCCTTGTTGATATGATCATTGTTGTCATAATGCCTTACAACTCTGAAAATTTAACATCCTTATACGTAGATAATACAAATGCATTATTGAAGATGACGTTACGTATATTGGACGTTAAAACATAAAAATATCAAAAATTGCATGACAGTTTCATGTCAAATATAATTTTCACCTCTAATAGGATGAGTTTATGTTTATTAACAGATAAAAATTCATTAAAGAAATCATAAGCTACAGTGATTCTTACTCTCAAATCAATATATCTTGTCATGTGCGCCTTCACTTTAATCTGCCAAAGGTGCTTTTACTGTTTCAGGGTGAAGTACTTCAGTCAACCAAATGTCTTACGCCACAGGGTATAATTTGTTCTCCTGAATCTACCCTCTATAAATACAGCTGGTGTTTGATTTTCTTACCAGACCAAGTTATCATATTTGGTATGTTATCACGGGTTATAGTCAAAATGACCGCAACACATTGGTTAAAATGGCCTTAAAAGCAGTCAAAGTGACCACACACTTCTAGTTCAAATTGCCACATAAAAAGTCAAAATGTCCGCACTAAAAATGTGAAAATAACATTTGTATGTTATATATCCTTTTTTCATTTCATATGACATATCTTAACAGCAGTTTAGGCATCAAGATCACATAGCCGCTTCCCATTTTCACTAGGGTTTGAGGCCATTTTGATTTTTTATGTGGCTATTTTGACCAGGGTGTCTGTGGCCACTTTGACCTGTTCCCTGAAAACACTTGGTAGGGACAGCGCAAGAACATCATCCAAATTTAAATTCACCTTGGTATATTGATGTTTAAGAATAGGATTTGCCAAGAGAAGATATCACAGTAATTCATGATCTCAAAAATATGGCATTAAAATTAATTTTAGAAATAATGAAAAAATTGAATTTATTTTCAACATTAAAGAAACATCCGACAGACAATTAATCAGTTTGATATTTCCTTACTGGAAATCAAACTTTGATACATTTCATAACTGAAATCTGATGATATATTGCAAGCAGTGCCGTATTATAGTACTGGCAGAACGTTCATATATCATTCTTTAAATGTAATATTTAAGACATGTATGCATCATTAGTGTTAATGTTCAAAACAAAGTCACTAATTTCTTTTTGAAATATATTTCGTTGTCTGGATATCCTTCTAGGACGAACTGGAGGTAATATGCAAAAGCTGATGAAGTCCTTGCTCGTCGTTTCATTTTCGTTTTTGAACTTCTATTTTGCACTGTTATCTGACGTTTTCGCCACATCTACACAGCTGACACCAAGTGGCTAAGTTCTTTTATGTACTTTACTACGTACTTTACGATATACTTTAGAATGCACTACACTGAGTAGTGTTCTCCTGTACTACAGTTAGCATCAGACGCCACGGCAATTGCGACTGTAACTGGAACTCAGTTCTATTTGGTTCCTCAGGCAAACATGTTTGCTTCGCTTACAGCTATCAGTGAATTAAACTATGCATAGACATCACGTGTTTGTAAAATATGTAAATTTGTTTCATGTTAACTTAACTGAAGTGCGATACTGAACTAAATTCAATATTTCATTTGACTAGGTCCATCATTCTGTATGTGAAAACCTTTCTGAACAACGAAACAATACCAGATTTCTTGTAGAATTTACATTTCCGACTTGAAACATCAAGTGACATCAAGATATTTAACATCCTCGTTTTATTACATTAACATGGTTTAAAAGGTACTGCAAAGAATCTACGCGCCATATCCGCCATCTTATACCTCAAATACATTTAAGATACAGACTGAGGGAATACCTCTTTCAAAGTTAACCGTACAAAAAATAAAACCGATAAAAAGTTTTGCTTTGACGAGCAAATTTTGATTCTACGAATCGCTGGTGTATGCAAAAAAGATATTGTGAACAAGCCTTCTACTTCTATACATAACCATTTTTTATCATTACTACTATTATTCCCAGAATGCACAATTAATTCGTAATTATTTGACCGAGTGACGTTTAAGGTCGCTTTCAACAACAGTTTTTATCAATGGCTGTCAGCTTAATGTGACAATAAATTCCAGAGTACCGCAGGTTGTAGATATTTTCCGCATTAATGGAACCCACGCGCACGCGCATGGTTTGTCATAATCAGAGTGAATATCAAATTTGATTTCGCGATGAACGCATCCTGGCACAGCTAAGACGCATAACTTTATATAGCTTATTGTGGCGCCATGCCACTCAGCTGCACCTAGGGATCGCTGTGGACAAGGTTGTAGGCAATAAATGCCGAAGGAAGGAGCGATGTAGATTTAACCCAAACCTAAAACAACTATTAAAGATTGAAATCAAAAGTGTATGTCAAATACACATAAAAATATGTATACTTGATCCAGGTTTCTATTTCCGGACAAACCCCTCTGTATATATGACGGTGGGATATTCTCGTACTAACATTTTTACTCATGCAGACTTTCTGTAAGTTCATGAGAGTTGTCAGAAAATTACATGAAGCTTTATGAAAAAAATATAATATTATAAGAAGGTACCCAGCGCATTTCTAGAGTCAGTCCAGTCGTGTGTGCACAGTGTTAGGCATATTCGGAGTTTCGGGCTAACTATCCTTGCTGACAATTAACAATACAGCAATAAAAATGTGTTTTCGATTATGATGTATGGTTGATACATACCTGTAACTTGTTGACATATTAAATCAATGCCTCATTATATTACTGGCAAAACGCTCATATATCATTCTTTGAAAATGATATTCTGTCCTAATCGACATGTTTATTGTCTTAGACGTACGTGCATTTTGACGTTGCCAATAGTATTGTGTTCAGGACGAATGTTAACAGTTAAAACCCAACAACCAATAGTGATTCTGTTTTTAATGTTCTGTCATTATCATAATGCTGTAAGCCAAAGGTTCATCAAGTAAACAGGTTCCGTAAAGACCAAAAAGTGACCAAATATATATATATATATATATATATATATATATATATATATATATATATATATATATATATATATATATATATATAAATCCAGAAATTATTGAGATAATGGTCAGAGAATCTGGACTGAGTGAATTGGGTTTTAAGCCGCTTTCAGCATTATTCCAGTCATATCACGGCGGGTGACACAAATAATGGGCTCCACACATAGAGCGGGACCCGGGTCTTCGGCGTGACGTGCCAAAGCTTTAACAACTAGGCTCCCCGAACGTTCCTAGATCATCTGGAAGAAGATCGTTGCACGTTTGTGAAAATTCCAAGCACTGTATGAGGATAGAGGCTAACACTTCAATTGATATCAACACCGAACAATGTGACAATGCATATCACTGCTGGAAAACGGAGTGACAATGCCCAACAATATCGTAATGTAAAATCATACACGAAATGATGTTAGAGTGAATGCCATTTACAGTAATGGCCATGTGAATATGTTTTTGTTCTGATTCAGGAAATGCACGTTTCTCTGGACATATGTTCTTTAAACAAATTTTCACATTTTCCCAAAATACAGGATGCAAAGATGCAGCATATTGTCATCAACTGTTATTTTCAACATTTGAAAAATACTATGTTTGAAAATTTCAAATTCTGGTATTCATTTTCAATACCAACTTTTTTACTACATTGCAATAAATAGCAGTATAGACATCTATGTAGTTTACTGTAAATAATTCATGTATATAAGCTAATGTCCACTTCATTGAGTATATTATGCAATGACCACGTCCGGTTAAATGACGAATGATATGTTACGATATGTCTAGAACACTAGGTCTAGATGATGATGATGATGACAATTTTGTACTCTTCTACATGGTAGCGTTGGTATTATAATGTATAGTATGAATACTGTTATTTGTTTCAACTATGACCTTCCTGTATTATTATACTGTTAAAATTCATTGTATATAGTTGACGATTCCACCCGAATGTGATACTGGCATTGCATATGCACCTTATTTACCATAGATATACTATAGCAGTTCTTACTGCAGGCGTTTGTGTCCTCTTATCAGAATAATAAAAGAATATAAAGAAATTTGGCATTGATCTCTTTTCAGCTTGACAGCGTGTAGTTTATATGCCAACAGAAGGAACGCATCTTCCCGAGGCAAGGGAGTTAAGTCCGATCGTAGTGGCTATTACGAGATATGTCCCTTCTTATTGACCAATCAGATTCCACCTATCATATTACTTGCATTTTACTTGCATTTGCCTCAATGGCGACGCTAAGTCAAGACGGTCTGATCGATAATCAAGATCTATAGTGCTATAAAAACGGGTCTTACCTCGAGAAATGCATCACATTACCTCCGCCCCTTGATCAAAATATATAAAGGGACAAATCCCTTTGCATATGATTCCGACTATATGATGAGCATTATCAAAAACATGAAAATATTTGGAAAATATCTGTCGACGCCCAGTTGGCGGTAAATATGCTCTGTGTATCCTGCAATTGACCGAAATCTGTACGGCAATCGTCATAACCGGATGCCGATTTCGTTACGCGATTTTGATTGGACTATGCATAGCTACAAGGGTGGAAACTGGACGGTTATGGTCAGTTAACTTCCTTGCCCCGGGAAGATGGAAGGAACGGGAAAGGAGATGAGTTAAACAAACTGGTAAGACACTCATGTGTTTCCAATAAAAAAAAAAATACATAAAATATTACAAACATGGTTCTATTTTCATCACAATATGTACGGACCTTAACACGTTGATAGAAGAAATGTGCATGGTTTTGAAGAAAAGTGACGCTTTAGCATAGCAATATAATATATGTACATAATTAGAAAAAAATATTCGGTTCACGTTAGTATTTCAAGATGACACACGTGTCCCTGAACAGGGTTATAGAATTGTACAGAATAATTTGATATGGGATGCACGTAGCCAAACAAATGTACAAAGGAAAATATACATGACAATGTACAAACACAAGAAACACAAGTAATGCTTGGTTTAAGTGTAGCATACGTCATCTTTTAACAGATGTACAAAGAAAAAATCATTTTTAAAATAACCAGGATTATATCAAGAAAGAGTATTATGGTTTCATTTTATTGTTGCGTGCCTGGTCCTGAACATACAAATAAAGGATGGAATAAGCAACACCATGTGTTGATTTCTATAAAATAGTTGAGTAAGTAAGTATTCCAGTTATATCACAACATGTCAGCTTCATGTGGGAGGAAGGCCCGAGTGATGCGGGTCTACTATAATCTCAGACGTATAAAACTCCGATATAGGGCTGATAAACCGAGAAACATAATCGGTTCGAATCGGAATTAGAACCCACTATTTGGTGTCCTAAAGACGCAACGCTGCACAGCGAATTGTAGCACGTTAGAAGACAGGCCAATTTTATAAAGCATACATGTAACTGATTAAAAGAATGATATACAACAAAGCGTTATAAGAAACATTAAAATTATAATATTGAAAATATGCATCTTTACAAACATAAAATGTCACTTTCTAGAAGTGTATAGTTTTCGTATTAATAGATTTCAAATCGTATGTAACTGAACAAAAGTATTTATAAGTAATAAAGGATTTTAAGGAAACGGATAACGGTTTAAATTTATTATATTGAAAAAAATGCACATAAAAGATGTGTAATTTCTTCTTTTCAAAATGACAAGCATGTTTCTTATAAACAAATCCCGGAAGGATTTTATAATTATGCAAATGTATAGACTGGGTGGTACCTGTTTATCAGTGTCATAATTATATATTTCATGAGCAAGATTATGTCAAGGCTGGCTATGTGTTAAAAAACAACGCATTTGTTTTCCTCATACACGAATTCCTTTCGCATGTTCATATTTTCAGTGTCATAAATAACTGTACATATATATAATACAGTTGGCATAATGTAAACACATCATTTAAATATCTGGTTTAAGAATGCAAACAAAATACAATAAATGTAATAGTTGACTTGTTTTCGTTAGAATTATGATAGGAATTGTGTTAACAGGAGTTAAGACAAAAATGACAAAAAGAGAAATGGAACAGAATTTAAACCATTTTGACGACGTCATGCTGTTGTTGTTGCTGTTGATTCTGGACCAGGCATCCACTGGATATTCTGAACGTGCAAACAGACGTTAATATTATGCAAAATTAGAAAAGCAATTCAGTGTGTCTGGCTTCAGTTATAAACAGATGAATTTCAATCTATGCATATACTGAACTGAATGCGTTGAATACAGTTTAAGCATTAATGTTTTAAAACGCGCCCATAGAGACAGTGATGCGAGATCGGTTAATTTCTATTTTCATTATTTTAGTGTATGTACAGCCGAAAATGTTAAAGTTTGAACCATATCTCTACTATATAGAGAAACAGTAAAATCAACTCTACCTCGAAGGCTAGAAAACGATTTTCCCTGGAAATATATACTCGCCTGACAAAGAATGATGACTTTGTGACAAAATGAAACTGTTGTGTTTTATTATTTCTTATCTTAATACAACTTAATCTGATTTTAATCTGGTCATTTTGTCAAACATTACAAAAGATCGAATAACCGTTTTCAAAGTGTTTCAGTACATATATAACTTCCTCTGCTTTAAAATACACACTGGAAAATTCAATAATCATTACCAGTCGCTTCTGATGAACCTTAAGTGCAGTATGGTAGGTAGCTGAGTGGTTAAAACGTACGTCCACTGGTCACACCGAATTCCCGGAATAGCCCCCCCCCCCCCCCCCCCCCCCTGGGCACAATGTGTTACACCCATGTATGGTATCACCAGCCATATCATTGTTGGAATATTGATATTGGAGTACAAGCGGCTTGAAACCCAACTCACTCACTCGCTCATTGATTTGTCACAAAAATACATACAGAGTATGTTAGTTGTTTCGCGAAAGTGGTAAATGTCTAAAACATGCTGCACTTCGGGCTTTCCTCCCACATTAGCCTGACACGTCTTGATATAACCGAAATACTGTTCAAAGTGACGTCTCCATCATCTGCCGAAAATGATTCCAGCAGGGTTACTGCATTCAAAAACAACAAGAAGCATTTCTAGAATGATGAGCACGAGCATGTGTTTATGAATCACTTTCAATGTGATCATACCAGATGTATGATAAGAACACTTGGTATCATGACTATTTGATGGTGATTCATAAACACATGCTCATGATATAGTCGGAATCGTACAATCGCTTACTTTAGTCGGTTTTACACAACAGGCCCGTTGAAACGTTCATAAAATATGTAATCTTTCCTAGACTTCGTTTGTTTGTTGTTTAAAGCCCTGCTCAGCAATATTCCAGCTTTATGACGGCGGTCTGTAAATAATCGCGTCTGGATCAGACAATACAGTGATTGATATCATGAGCATCGTTCTACGCATTTGGGATACGATGATATGAATCAACCAAGTCAGCTAGCATGAACACCACTCGACTCTTACGACATGCAAAGTCATCTCTTGCGGCAAGCATGGGTTGCTGAAGACCTATTCTCTTCCCTAATCATCACGGGGATCTTTCAAAGACGGACACACGTGTGCTCTCATAAGTGTTGGAATGATTAATGATGTGTTTTTTTCCCACCGCTTTCAGATATATTTCATGTATATCAAGGCGGGGAGACAATTAATGTCACAAATAGGAACCTGAACATACGCTGTTACCCAAAGTCGCTTTAACAACAAGGCCCCACACATCCTATTCTTAGAGTTCGTGGAAGCACACGGTCACCAATACGTGTCTGCAAACTTTACCTGTGATTATTATTGAATTGAAGAATTTTTCATTAACGTGAAGGTCTTTGAAAGGCATTTAGAAGTGATACACATATGGAAGATAATGTATGGACGTCAACTTCTTTATTATGAGGAACACTACGTTTCGGAGTACATGCTTTCTCCTTACTCCTACCACCTTTTGTTATCTTATTAATTTTGTTGTCCTTACATGTACATATGTATGCTCCCTGCCTCATG